GTGCCCGGTGTGTGCGGGGAGAGATCTGCCATCTGGACATCGAGCGGGCGCGTCCGAGTGCGTGCCGTTCAACGGACGTGGTCGGATGGTAAACGGGGAGGGCACTCGCGTAATCCCCGCGGTTGAACAATCAAATGGAGCTAATCGGGGAGCTCCGGCCCCTGCGGAAGGGGCACACGGGGAGGAGGCCATGGAAACCTGGGATGGCTAGACTGGCGCAAATCAATGTGAACAGGTCGAGGCCATCGCAGGACATGGCCGCGAAGGTGAGTGGCGAGTTGGGGCTAGGACTGATCGCCATCTCGGAGCCCAATAGGGTTCCAGATGACGGACGCTGGCTGGCTTCGACGGACAGCCCGCCCTCAGCCGCCATAACGTGGCAATGGGCGCAGGTCAGGGTGCCATGTTCGCCTCTCTGGAGGGGAAAAAGGTTCGCGGCCGTGGACTGGGGGGACACCATCGTAGTGTCGTGCTACTTTCCCCCCAGTCTCAGTGACGACGAGTTCGCGAGGGACTTGAGAGAGTTGGAGAGAAGGCTGGCAGACACGGTGGGGCGCCCTGTCGTTGTCGCGGACGACTTTAATGCCCGCGCTCTCGCGTGGGACAGGAAACGCAACAGGAGGAGGGACCTCTTGCTGGAATGGCTGGTCTCCACGGACCTCCAGGTTATCAATGAGGGTGTGGAGCCAACATGTGTACATCCCCGCGGAACCTCGCGGGTGGACTTGACAGTGGCATTACCCTCGGCCGCCAGGAAAATCACGGAGTGGAGAATAGCGACAGAGGTGGAGTCCCTGTCCGACCATCGATACGTGGTCATGAAGTTGGGGACTTCCATCGTTGGCCCGGAGATCGGGAAAGCGGCCCTTCGGACCTTCCCAAGGTGGGTGGCCGGCAGAGCAGACTCCAACCTGATGGAGGCGGCGGCGATCCATTCGACATGGAGCGAGATCTCGGGAAACGCCGCAGAGGGAGCCAAAATCATGGACCAAACACTGCGGGACATCTCAGACGCGAGTATGCCTAGGAAGGGACTGCAGAAGAAGCCTCACGCGTACTGGTGGAACGACGAGATAGCGGAGCTCCGTCGTGCCTGCAACGCATGCAGGAGAAGGGTCACGCGAGCGAGGGCCCGCGTGAACGTGCCTCCGGAAGAGATAGGGACCCTCTGGGGCGAGCTGAGGGATAGGCGCAGGGATCTCAGGGGGTCGATCGCTCGATCCAAGGCTAAGCTTTGGAAAGAGCTGGTCGACGACCTCGAAAGGGATCCCTGGGGCACGCCTTATCGAGTAGTCCTTCAGAAGCTGCGCTCGGGAGGCGCGTCCGTGCTGGAGGTGCTTCCCCCTGAGACGGCTGAAGAGATAGTAACGACACTGTTCCCTGTGGATCAGTCCCCACAGGGTGGGGAGACACCTAGAAAATGGGACAACGACCTGGCGGTAACGCCGGTTGAGGTCCTGGAGGCTAGCTCCAGGATCAAGACCGGGAAGGCCCCAGGTCCTGACGGTATAATGGGAGGAGTTGTGAAAAGCACGGTGAGGCACCTGGCTCCGTTGTGGGCCAGATGCTTC